CTCCTCGTAAGCGCCTTCCAGAGCTCGCTCCAGTGTCGGCTCCAGCCCCTAAACTCACTCCAGTGCCAGCTCCTCGAAAGCGCTTGGCTGTGCCTGCTCCTCTAGAGCGCCCTCCAGTGCCAGCACCACTTAAACACTATCCTGATCCCCAGTTAAGCCCAGGAAGGGCTCCTGATCCCCAGTTAGCCCCCAGATCAGCCCAGGAAGGGCTCCTGGCCCCCAGTTCAGCCCACGGAGGGCTCCTGGCCCCCAGTTCAGCCCAGGGAGGGCTCCTGACCCCCAGTTCAGCCCAGGGAGGGCTTACATTTCTCCAAGTATTTTTTTTTGGGGGGGGGGACTATGGCTCCAGCCGTAGAGGCCGAGGCGGGGGCTGGGGCCGCGGAGTTATTAAAATCCCATCATTAATGTACTCCTCGTCTCTCTCCGTTCCTTGCTCCTCAGTCCGCTCAGCAGTGCACCCGTGTCACACACACACACACATACACACATATATATTTATATAGTACAAATATCCCTAAGTTTTGTTGAAGGCTTTTCTTTTTCAAAAAATGAAAAAAATATCTACAATAGGCACGTGACGGTATACAATTTTCATGTTGCGATAATCGCTGATAATTGCAATTGCGTTAAAATTATAAAGTAAACAAATGTTTCCAACTGATTAAAGTGCAAAAGAATCATAAAGAACAACAGATAAAACTTTACAATAATATATAAACCTTAGTCATTGCACTTACATTAACAATGAGCAAAAGCTACATTTGTTAAAGTTATTATTATTTGATTAAAAAAATACAACTATTAGTTCATATTAGCTCAGGGCCATTAAATAAAATAACTACAACTTTTAATTTTAATATTGTGTTAGTAAATGTTGAAATTAAATAAGATTAATAAATGCTTTAAAATAATTCAGTTACACTTCATTTTAAGGTGTCCTTGTTACAGTGTAATTATACATTTAAGTACTGAGCAATATTAATTACTGTATGGTTTGGGTTAGGATTCGAGTTTGGGACTTTCATTCAGCACATCTCCTTCACTCGTTCCTGTTGGGCTCGTTTACATCAGAGTGCGCATGGGTCTTTTACGCAGCGGTGTTGTGAATTTTAACCATTTAATGGGAAAATTATTCATAAAATGCATTCAAAAAACCTTTATTACCAAACAGTATTACCAAATACTGGCACATGTCTAGTCTACAACTAATAATTTTACTTTTGACTGTTACATACTTCATGTTATGGTATTTTATTACCAGGCAGATGGTTTTCCTTATTCACTGATGGGATGGTGTGAGGCTTGTGATGGGTCTGTAGTACTGTGGGCAAGATGAAGCAGAGCTTGCGGATGAATTTAATCATCTGAAACATAAAAAAAAGAAAGAATTACATCTCATTCACATATTAAATTAGTGCAAACTTAAAGACAAAATAATGGGTTGAAATGCAGGCTTCCATTACTCCTAGATATACCTCATCTTGCAATAGAAATATAGATGAATTTTCTCTCTGGAGGAGGAGATTAAGAGAGGTGAAGACTGGTATGGTGGCCTAGTAGAAAAGGAGGTACACTTTAGTCATGGAGTCTGAAAAGGCTCCCCGTAGCCATGTATTTGACCTCCGTGAAGTTGGCCCCACATATTGGCTGATTCTCTTCTGAGAAAAGTGAGAGAAAAGAAAGATATAGTACAACTCACATACATATTGTTAATTTCAAGACAGCATATTATACAATGTATTTGGATAGTTGTCTTACCTGCTGATTTAAAATAGTTAGCAAGTGTCTTGTATAATCTGAGAATGTGGGTTACACAGATTTCATGGATCAATTAACCACCGTACAGAAACATGCTGTAGGACTTCCATTTATTCTGACTCAAAGAGCTCACAAAACTATGTGTAAAGGCAGTTTTAATAAAAAAATATTAAAAACAATTCTATAACTAATGAATTCTACATTAGTTAATTTTATCAGTTGCTCAAAATCTGTATCATTTTTGTAGAGCTTGGTAAGTAAATACCTGCCAGAAAGCCCTTGCAATCGGTGCTGCCTTTAAACCAAAAGACAACAGCTACAAGAACAAAAATCTGACACCTGTTATTAATCATTTGTTCAGTAAATTCATAATCTGTGCATCATCTAAATATTAAAAATATATTCAATCTACACTTACCTCAGAAAAGGCTAGACCTGCTGGCTTCACAGTGAGGTGTAAAACATGACACAGGCAGCCATGTTCATAAACTGCTGTTTTTCTGAAGAACTCTTGATGCAATTGAATTGTGTTGTCCAATGTTTGCGGCTGCATTGACCACAGAGAGGCCAACACAGTTGGATCACGGAATGCTATTGTCTTGTTAGGCGCCATGCATCAGTCTTTTGGAAGATGAGCTCTGCTGTGCCAGATCTGGTTCCACTTGTAGTGCACATACCAAGGAACCGATGGGCCACTTTGTTCACATCAAACAAACACACATCTTTTCTCTTCCTGCATTGACAAACTAATTAGCCCATTATCTCAAACAAATATAGTAAAGCCAGCTCACATCAAAAATATGTCCAAAATTTAAAAGAAAACGAGGGGAGAAATGTAATTCAGTTTATACCAGACTGTAATCACATTTCCTTCCTACCTGTGTCATTTGAGGCATCTGTGACGAGGGTGTATGGACTCTCTCTCTCATCAGCATTACCAGTGTGTTTTTGAAATGTGTGGCTACTGCTTGATTTATATTACAGGTGGTCTTGGTTCTTGCACATTTGTACTCCTGTGCAGTAGCAGAGTCTTTGAAGCACTCTTTTATGAGTGGACCGAGATGATCTGTGACAGCCAGTGGTATATTATGGTTTGCCAGCATCACAGCTATTTTTAATTCTGCCCTCCTTGTCTTCAAGATAGAATTGCATTGATGTTACATCTTGAATGATTTTATTCCACACAATGAATTCAATAGATTATGGAATCTAAAAGCCAAACTATACTCAGGAACTAAGATTATGAACCCTCCACTACATAAACATAACACAACTGTGTATTATCAACCTTTATTTCTTGGGCGGACATTGTCCCAGCAGAAGGAAGTGGCACTGAGGACTGCTGAATTCCACTGCTGGATTACAGTGCCTTCTGTTTTTCCTGATGGCCTTTGCTGTTTATGTGCCTAGTAACATCTGCTATTCCCTGGTGACAGCAAGCATTTTCAACCCTACATACGTGAGAGCGTCAGAATAGTGTCAATCGCGTGCGAGTTAGAAGCCCTGCTTGAATAAATGTATGTAACATGTTTTAAAACGCAAAAATTATAGAATCCTCTGAGTCTGTAGATGATCAATTTAAGTACTATATATATGTTTAAAGTACAAAGAACTCTAATTATTCACAATATTTCACTCATTACTATAGCCCCTATGTGCTATAGCCCCCCTAAAAATTGCCTAGCGACGCCCATGGGGACGGTAGATGTAAAGCATGAGATGATAGGCGGATTAACATTTTAAAGCCTCTGATTGGCTTTAATGTGGCCAATGAAATCATTCTGTGGGTTGGTCAATGGAGACACGCAATAACAGACCGCCGTTTTCCCTTTCTAAATTAGCATAGCGCAGTGCATAAAAGCTTGTGTGTTCTAACCAAGTGTGCCGCACGAGTCTTAAAAAGTGAAGCCATTGCGTTTCGATCGCCCCCAGGTGGCTGGTCCCAGTATAGGTCGTAAACCCCGCCCTCTCCATGCAATCTAATAGGACATGGGACAAACTAAATAATTACATTTCACTTCAAATATTTTTTTCCAAAGATGGCTTTTGTCATTTGATGTAGATTTTATCACGCTGATGTAAGTTCAAGTGTTCGTTTTTTAAATAATTTTGGTTTTAGTTAGTTAATTGATGCTATAAAAACGGGAGTGTGACGTCATGATTGACAGCTGAGACTGACAGCTTCTCTGAGTGAACTGAGGCGCCAACTGACTTTTTCGGGATCTTTAGGAGGATATTGGAGCAGTCAGGCTAATTAAAACAGGGTCAGGGGCGTATGCTTGCGATCGACTCTGCGGGAGTGTGGGCGGGACGCGGCTCCACTTCGCTCGCTACTGCGCAGACTCTGGTCCCTAGTTCTCTACTGTGCAGACTCCACTTCCAAATCAGCGCAATATGGCCGCGCCCTGTTGGGACAATGGCCGCTTCACTTTTCCTCAAAGAGATTGAAGGTGCGTCGTCCATCTTTTTTTAGTCTATGGTTCTAACAAAATTTATTTAATATTGATTGTTTCTGTAGAGAGCATCATGCCTGAACCAGCAAAGTTCGCGCCCAAGAAGGGCTCAAAGAAGGCCGTCACCAAGACCGCCGGCAAAGGAGGAAAGAAGCGCAGGAGATCCAGGAAGGAGAGTTACGCGATATACGTGTCTTGGGTTTGGCTGCCTTGGTTTTTTTAGGGCTCTTGGCTGCTTTCTTAGGAGTCGCTGGTTTCTTTGCTTTTTTTGGGCTCTTTGTTGTCTTTTTAGCAGCGGGATTCTTGGCCTTCTTCGGAGATTTCTTAGCGGTGGGCTTCTTCGCTGCTGCGGTTTTGGGCTTCCTAGCGGCAGCAGGTTTCTTGGCTGCGGGCTTCTTGGCTTTAGGAGCGGCTTTATTGGCAGGTTTTGTCTTGATCTCGGCTTGTTTCTTGTTGAGTTTGAACGAGTCGGAGGAGCCGATTCCTTTGTTCTGGACCAGGGTCCCTTTAGTCACCAGACTCTTAACGGCGATCTTGACACGGGAGTTGTTCTTCTCCACATCGTAGCCACCGGCAGCGAGCGCTTTCTTCAGGGTGGCGAGGGACACACCGCTCCTCTCCTTAGATTCAAGGCATTAAAGGGGTCATATGATGCTGCTAAAAATAACATTGTTTTGTGTATTTGGTGTAATGAAATGTGTTTATGCGGTTTAAGGTTCAAAAAACACATTATTTTCCACATACTGTACATTATTGTTTCTCCTCTATGCCCCGCCTTTCTGAAACGCGTCGATTTTTACAAAGCTCATCGTTCTAAAAAAGTGAGGTGTGCTGTGATTGGCCAGCTATCCAGTGCGTTGTGATTGGCCGAATACCTCAAGCGTGTGACGGAAATGTTACACCCCTCACCATACTGTGATGATGCCCTGTCAGGCCGGAGCGATGATTCAAAAACATGAAAACCCATTATAAACGAGGCATTCGTTGCATCCAGTGGGGACATAATTATGGATTATAATGACTTATACTAATGACTTAGTCTTTTTACGCGTTGCGTTGCATCGCGCCACGTAAACATAAAACCATGTCTGCATTTGTGATCGGAGAAATGACAATACTTATCACAGATCATCATGCATTGCTCAGAGATCACAATGCACATGTCAGTGGCAAATCCTTTAAATGAAAACGTACTTACGTGAGTCAGAACTGCCGGCATTTTAGTCTAACGTTACTCTTCCAGGATCAGTAAACAGTCCTCCATAAAATGTGCTGCACACATCTGAATATTTGGATTGAAGTGTTCTGGAACAGTGTTGTAAATACAACTTAACCACTGATTTCTAGTCGTGTCCATTTTTGGAAGGCCAAACAAAGTAGTTTCGCTTTCACAACGTAACACAGCGTCACACACGACGGCCTTGAGTGAGCGGCAGCGGCCTAGAGTGAGCAGAAGCGGCGGCGGATTCAACGAAGGAGCATCCGGCGGGCTTGCGGCAACCACATGTGACGACCCCGGGCTGGACTCCGCTTCGTCCACGGTGAAAGCCGATTTAGGTAGGTGTGGCTGACTCTTAACTTTTATAAAGAATATCTCTTTGGATTTGAGACTTTAGTCTTTGCAACTTTACAGATCTTCTTTATGCACCAAGAGCTTGTAACACTCCGAAGAGAAAGGGAAAATTGAAATCGCATCATATGACCCCTTTAATGTTTGCCTACAAAACGTCTCAGGTTACTTATGTAACCATGGTTCCCTGAGTAGGGAACGAGACACTGCGTCCTCTAGGGGTCGCTATGGGGAACCTAGAAGCTTGCGTTCTGCAAATGAACGTCACTTTATTGTGCCATCCCAAAGTAGCACAAAATCCCTTTCACTGACTTTTAAATTAAATGTTCCCTCCTGGTGGAATGACCTGCCCAACTTAATCCGAGCAGCTGAGTCCTTAGCCATCTTCAAGAATCGGCTAAAAACACATCTCTTCCATCTTTATTTGACCCTCTAACTCTAGCACTCTCCATTTTATTTTAATTCTACTTTATCTATTAATCTT